ACAAAACTCTGCATAAGTATAAAAGTCAGTTTTGTAATGTTTACATGTAGCGGTTAGGAAACGAAGCACAATCAAATCATCCAAATGATTGATGGTTACGTGCCAATGCGACTGCTTTTGAAAGACAAGCTTAAGAATGACAGTAACAATTTAGCAACATTTGACAAGCCGCAAACGTTCATTCACGAATCCGACAATGACCACACTTGTTGGAACAACAATACGGGCACAACGCCAGCTTCAAAGAGAAAACCAGAGGGGTTTTTACGATTTTAAGTTTTTCTTCCATTTCGTTTTATCAAAAGGCAGGAGGCAACATGAAAATTGATGCTCCATCAACTGTGAATAAACGATGCAGACAATTTGTTTTTGTTCAATGTTATACGAGTGACTCAACCTACTCTTGTTTTGACAAGAAACTTTAGATCCTCTGGTGGGTGAACCAAAAGCATAGCATGCATTCAGTACCCATTTACTAACAGCTTAAATCTATTCAGTAATTATTTTAACTGCACTGCATTTTTCACAACTGCATCGTTGTTGAAAAGCTACAGCGATGTAATGTCAGAATGATTTGCGGTAAAAGGCGAAAATGCAATTCAAAGATTCTCCAGAGTTCGGCAATGGTACATCACACTTCATTAGCAGGTGGGCGCTGAAATGTAAAAGTTTAAAGTGGAGACAAAACTGTCTGCAGCTGTTGGCTCTTCACAAATGTCAAATTGGCTTGCTGTTCTAATTTGACATTCACATAAAAGTGTTTGTACTGGCAGACTGTCAACTCCATGTTTTATTAATAATGAAGAATATCAAAATGAGTTTCTTAAAAAAAAACGTTGGCATACTACTGGAGTCTGCTCATCCCCTTAACGTCAAGGTTGGAATCAGCAGAGAGGGAAATAAACAGCGTGCAAAAATGTGATACAAACAGAAGAGGAGGGAGGCGATAGGAAAAAGAAATCAGAGGGGAATAGCAAGGTGAAAAGATCCAATCTCTCTGGATTTATTAGGGCTTAATAAAGACAATTACGTCTACTTCAGGGATCAAGTCTGACCAATAAGACTGACTAATTTACTGTTAGAGTATCACAACTTGGCAATTATTTCACTACGGTCATGTAAATGCTAAATATCAAAGGTTATCTCTTCCCTGTCATAGTAATTCAATAAAACCTTCTGCTAGGGAAGAAAAGTGCTCTTAGAAAAGTGACCCCTGAGCTAACAATGGAAGCGTAACTGCACTTGTACAAAAAACACATGCGCACAGACCCACACACCGATCACACAACATCTGTGATAAATGTATGACACATAGCAGTCCCACAGTCTTTTTCATTACATTCTTCTCCGAAGAACTCAGAAACAAAGGCCCGAGATTAAACAGCTCTCATTCGCAATGACTCATTAGTCTCACTCACTCCTCACTCTCTTCATGATCAGTCTCTGCTCTGTGTCTCACTTATACAGGACAAGGTCATTTAGGAGTCTGTGGAGTGGGAGAAAGAACGATGAGAACGGGAGAGGAAGGACATTAGAGGAGTGAGGAACTATCCTTCAGGGATTTTCACTACAACAAAACCACTATTTACACCCTAATGACAACCATCTATTCTGTGGATCTATTTTCATTTAAATTCAGCCACTCCAGAGGGACAGAAACCAGAGGACTGGACAAAAACATGTATATGTTCTGCATAAACACAGGTCTTACACATGAAGCACATTAAGGTTTCCTATTCCAAAATCATGCCCGTTGCTTGTGTGTGGTATATGATTGCATTTGACTTTCATCACCCTGCTGAGAGTGTGTGTGTGTATGTGTGTTCATGTCTGTTTGTGTAGATTGGGTGTGCTTGTGTCTGCCTGTTTAGAAGAAAGACCCAGATCAGAAGAGAGATGAATGAACCAATGCATGTGAGCCAATCTCAACAGGTCTGTGGCTGAGCAAATTCTACATCCCATTTGTAAGAGAGACATACAGATAGAGACGAGTTATAAGGTGAGATATATGT